AGACAGTGCACAAAAAATATGGGACAGAGGAGGGAAGGGTGACAGAGGGAAGAAAGGAGGTAGGGAGGGGGAGGAGAGGGAGGAGGAAGTGATGGATAGGGCACAAAGATGGTGTATGGAGAGCAGAAGAGCCAATAATTGTTTTTGGGAGTTGATGGTAAGATGAATTGATGTAAACATTTAATAATACAATACGATGTTGGCTATGTAATAGTATGTGATTATATGTTATAAATATGAAAAAAAACTTTATATATAAAAAAGAAGAAAACAACCAAGCTCAGAGAGCACCAAGGACTCCTCACAAAAAAAATGAAAATAAAAACAGTTTGGTGTTTGACTAATCAAAGAATCAAAGTTTGATTCTAATTACCACATAAATGTAAAATTGTTTCTAAAAGAAATGTTCTAGAATTTCTATGGTACACTTTTTACCTGCTCCAATCGGATTATAGCCACTGCTTTTTCCAGATCTTGATTTTTCCTTTCTTTAACAAGATCATAATACACTTTCCCAGTACAGAAAATCACCCGATTCACATCCTCAGGAGTTTCAGCGGCAACTCCTTCCTCTGCAATCACACGTTTAAACTTGGTACCTAGGAACAACAGACAATATTGGACTATAAAACCCAAAGATGAAACATTAACATGATTAGTAGACTAAGAGGAATAATAGTATTCCTTATTCTTCTGATTCCACATTCATGATTTTTTGCAGAGAAGTTCTAGGGCAGGGGTGTCAAACTCGATTTCACTAAGAGCCGCATCAGGGTTCTATTTGACCTCGAGGGCCAGATGGGCATGGCCAGCTCACATCATTCATGTCAGGGGGCCCTGGGGTGGCTGGGACGGGGCTCCAGTTGTCTCCAGTTCTGTTTTCAGCTGCAACAGCCTCCTACAGCCCTCTGCCAGTGAAAATGGAGCTCCATTTTCACTGGCAGAGGCACTGCGGGCCAATCTTTTGCTGTTTCCAGGGCGGCCATCGGGCCAGATTTAAGCACCCAGTGGGCCAGATCCAACCCCCGGGCCTTGAGTTTGACACCCTTGTTCTAGAGAATGGACAATGCAGAAAGCTGCGCCCTTCTCAGAGGATCAGGCTAGCATGGGGATGAAGTTAGATCCTGCTGGTCCAGAATCCCAGGAATCAGTTTCTACAAGATCATGGCCCATATGTATGTGCTTTCTTGACCAGTATTTTTAGTGGTTAGGGAATTCTGAAATTGAATTGCACATATCTTAAATTTCCCACCTGCAAGTATGTGTGTAAGATTAAGCATACATATAAGCTTGCTTATATGCATGTTTGTTTTTTATTTTATATACATACAGATATGTTTGTTTAATCTTAAACACATACATGAGATCACCTTTTATTTTTTATAGACCAAAAGTCAACATAAGCCGGAATGGGGAATTCTGAGAGTTGAAGTCCACAAATCTTAAAGTTGCCACCTATATATATATGTGTGTAATTTAAACACACATATAAGCTTGCTTATATGTATGTTTGTTTAATCTTACAGGCATACTGACATGTATGTTTAACCCTACACACATACATGAGATCACCTTTTATTTTTTTTATTTTTTATAGCCCCAAAACCAACATGAGCCAGAACACTGACAAAGAGGCATTCAGAGGAGAGACAGGGTTTCCCTCTCAGCTGATGGGTCATGGCAGGATAGGATGGTCCAGTCAGAGAGAACGTATTGAAGGATACCCGACTCCCAAGTGAATACAGGCAGGATTCCACTCTTGTTCCTCCCAGCAGCTTCAGCAAAACTGAGCCCCATCTTCAGGCGCTTTGGTGGGTTGCTATTTTCCTTCCACCCCCACCCCTACCCTGCTCTCCACACGGCTGCAGATGCACTGGATTTGAGCAGGGGAACAGGAAATCCCGCAGGATCAGCCCAAAAGCCTGAACTGCTAGAAGTTCTGATTGCCTCCCCTGTTACACAAGGGCAACTGTAGTATAATTCCATGCAGTGTAAGAAGAAGCAAGTCGCAGCAAGCAAAACGTTTCCAAAACACGTAAATCTACCTGGCATCATTTCATCAAAGCTAGATTTTGCTTCAGGATGTCTCAGCAACGACTTAGGGGTGAAGATAATCAGCTGTAAAATCATTAAAATGTGAGTTTGTCACCAGAGTCAGTACATAGTTTCCAATATATTCAAGCAAGCATTGAATCAAAGGCAGAATTGTTTACAATTCAGAGAGGTCTTGGGTGAGACCGTAAGAGAAACAGCCCACTGAAAATGTCCCTCTACTAATCAGTTAGATCTTAAATAAAGTTCTGCAACTCCCGCCCACCCAATTATTTTTAAAGATAGCTCAAAGGAACCTCCCAGTTTGTTTCATGAATCAAGGCCATCACCACCAAAAATAAAATAAAAAATAAAAATGAAATAACCCAAGGTTCTACGGAAATTTCCAAACGGTTTCCACCAAAATACCATGTTTCCCCGAAATTATGACATGTCCTGATAATAAGGCCATGCCACATTTTTCTGGTGGGCAAAAATATAAGCCCTCCCCC